CTGTCAGTGTCATCAAGACGAGGCGCACGATTCAATTCGTTGATTGGTGCCCTACCGGTTTCAAACTTGGTATCTGCAATGAGCCACCTGCTCACATTCCTGGTGGAGACCTTGCCAAAGTTTCTCGTAGCATGTGCATGTTGTCAAACACCACTGCCATCTCAACCGCATGGAGTCGTCTCGACCACAAATTCGACCTTCTGTACTCGAAACGCGCATTTGTTCACTGGTATGTTGGTGAAGGTATGGAGGAGGGTGAATTCTCGGAAGCTCGCGAGGATCTTGCTGCTCTCGAAAAAGACTATGAGGAAGTCGGTATCGACTCGGCTGATGTTGAGGAAGCTGGCGAATACTAGATGCATTCAATCATCCTTTGGTCCTCATTCTCGGAAGTTGTTCCTGCCATAATTTCTTTACCATTGCCATTGCCATCACGATTTACGTATACCGTTCATTATATCCCGCTTGTCCTCGAGGTTTTTTACGCACTTTAACTGGAACATGAATTACGAATATCTCTCATCGGATGCAATGCGGGAAGCCTATCAAGCGCCGGAGGGTCCGTGTTGTCTCCGTAATATTTCCAAATTGAGAAGTTCTTTCCAAGAAATTTTGAACACTTGAAGTAGAAACTTTCGGCACTTCCGAGTCTGTTCCCTCCCGTCACGACAAACCGGTATACCAGTCATCACCTCTTTTAACGATTCATCATGCGCGAAGTCATCTCTCTTCATGTTGGTCAGGCTGGTGTTCAGATTGGCAATGCCTGCTGTGAGTGCCTTTTGCGCGTCATAAGGATCGTCTTAACTTTCGACCAGGGGAGTTGTACACCCTAGAACACGGCTTGAGCGTAAGTTCGCGCCATGTTCCAAGTACACCATTATCTAATATTTTACATAGCCCGACGGTCGCGTCCTTGATGAAGCTCACAAGACTGACGCCGGGTTCTCTACGTTCTTCTCCGAGACTGGTTCAGGGAAACACGTTCCTCGCTCTCTTTACATTGATCTGGAACCCGGAGTCGTGGATGAAGTCAAGACCGGTCCTTACAGATCTCTCTTCCACCCCGAGACCATGATTACGGGCAAGGAGGACGCAGCAAACAATTGTAGGTCGCAGAACAAGTTGCATATCCATTATGGGCAGCTCATGATTTTGCGCATTCAGATGCTCGTGGTCATTACACAGTCGGAAAAGAATTGATTGACCCAGTCATGGATAAAATTCGTCGCTTGGCTGACAACTGTTCAGGATTACAAGGATTTTTCGTGTTCCACTCGTTTGGCGGAGGTACTGGGTCTGGATTTGGTGCCCTCCTGTTGGAACGACTTTCTACGGATTATGGAAAAAAGTCCAAGCTTGAGTTCTGCGTTTATCCTGCACCTCAATTGTCAAGTTCGATAGTCGAACCCTACAACTCAATTCTGACCACCCATACAACTCTTGAACATTCTGATTGTTCGTTTATGGTTAGTCTTTTCATCCATCTTTTGTATTACTGTGTTCACTAGGCTGTGCAGGTCGACAATGAGGCCATATATGATATCTGCAAGAAAAATCTTGGTGTCTCTCAGCCCAGCTTCACCAATCTTAATCGCTTGATTGCTCAAGTTGTCTCATCGATCACTGCTTCGCTTCGCTTTGATGGTTCATTGAACGTCGACCTTAATGAATTCCAAACCAACCTTGTTCCGTGAGCATCATCGCGTTCTCCATGGCAAAAACAAGTTGTTGAACAATTAACAGTTTCCCTCGGATCCATTTCCCATTAGCAACATATGCCCCACTTCTGTCCGCTGAGAAGGCGACTCACGAACAAAACTCTGTCAGCGAAATGACCTTCTCCTGCTTTGAGACTGGACATCAGATGGTATGATCACACCATACTTCGAGCCATGATTTGCTCACGTGATTTCAGGTGAAATGTGACCCCAAAGACGGAAAATACAGTATGTGTGTCATGGCCCTTTTATGCGCCTCTCTAATCTTCGAACAGTGGCTTGCGCTCTACTTTATCGTGGTGATGTCGTACCGAAGGATGTTCAGGCTGCTGTCGCCAGCATCAAGACTAAGCGAACCATCCAGTTCGTCGATTGGTGCCCGACTGGTTTCAAGGTGTGTGCTTAGCTTGGCTTTGATAAGCTCGACTGATGGATCCCTTTAGCTGGGCATTTGCAACGAGCCTGCCGCTGCGGTCCCAGGTGGTGACCTTGCTAAGAATACCCGCAGTCTCTGCATGCTTTCAAAGTGGGACTATGCGCTATGTGGTATAGACTGCTGCTAATTTCTTTTCGTATAGCACGACGGCTATCTCTGTCGCTTGGAGTCGGCTAGGTGATCCTTCTCAATATTCTTTGCTCGAGTGGGATACTAACGATGGTTTCCAGATTACAAATTTGACCTCATGTACTCCAAGCGCGCATTCGTTCACTGGTATGTTGGCGAGGGTATGGAGGAGGTATGTACATCGTTCAACCTGTCCTCGGCTTATTCATACTTCGTTATAGGGAGAGTTCTCAGAGGCTCGTGAGGATTTGGCAGCACTGGAGAAGGACTACGAGGAAGTTGGTACCGACTCTGCAGATGTTGAAGAGGAGGGCGAATATTAGATGGTCTATCATTCTGGGAAGAGCGACCACATATTCTTCTTCCTAATATTTTCTTTTCTTGTTGCACTGTTTCCATCGCTTTCGCGCGTCTTCCTGATATTTTTTCCGTCCTTCTATCCGGGACATTCTTCCATCCAAAAGGATCTAACATATCATCATAATTGCTTTTCAGCTCGCATACTTGATAGCACATGATTTTCTACATGGTGGAACAGAGTGTAATTCCCTGTGAAACATTGGAGAAGTGATGCAAGAGCTCATAAATGCCCACGAAGAACCAGGACTAGTCTAAAAGGCTCATTCGGCCAACATCAGGTTTGGTATCATACACCGTATGGTTCGATTGCGCGAAAATTGATCGATGCGCAACTAACTGCGACCATGAGCCCCAGCGCCATTGGTCGTGTGATCCTGGCGACGAAGGTCAATACGCTCCAAGCGCCATCGCGGAGGCCTTCTCAATCTGCCATGAGACCAACACGAGTAATAGCATAAGAATGCCTTGCACCAATGCACATCTGGCAGTGAATCAATGTCAGACGACTCGGGCGATGGGTCGTTTGCCGTCGTGTTCTGCGACACACCAGGCTGCGCTCTAGACAAATGTCGGGTGTCATTGACTTTTTTGTATTCCGGCAGTTTGGCAGCGGCAAGACGCTGGGGGCATCAATCAGCGAGAACAATCAAAAGTGTAAAAAGAACCACATTACAGTGAATTTACGTCCGGCTGCGACTTCAACCTCTTGTGGCTCTTGGCTGGATCTTGACCTACGGAAGGAAGTACGTTGTCGCAGGAATTGCGAGAATCGGTTCCAGTGTTGTGAACGTTCCTCTTCGGACTGTCCTTGTTGCAACTGCCTGCGAAATGGGAGACGGTTGGCGAGGTTCTTGATGAGGGAGCGCAGTGTGGGGTTCTGTGAACCTCCATCCGCGGATCGGCGGGGTGGATAGGTTGTTTCAACCTAGACATTCAACTCAGTCATGCATTGAGTTGATTGAACGCGAGGACTGACATCATCAAAGAACCCGCGCGGCATTCCAGTACGTACTGGTCGCGACTCTAAACGCGGAATGATTTCCTGTGGGAGTAAAATTATGGACAATACATGAGTGCAAACACTGAATATTACATACAATTGGTATGGATGGACGAGGGCGTCGGCGGTCATCCTGTACATCGTCAATAGTCAGTGTGTACGAGGATACGTGTAGGGGATAAGGGAACCTTTTTGGACTGTAACGCAGGTTAGCATTAACATTACATGACTAGTGGATAATTTTCTCACCTGTTTGAACTCCTTATCTGAATCGCTTTGAGGCACTGACCATACACGAAGAAGCGTGTCGTCACAACCAGTCGCGACAAGCTGACTATCTTCGGAAAAAGCCACGCAATATACGGCATCAGGATGCTCCAATGGCTCGCCAATAGGTTCAAACGTAGTCAGGTCAAAGAACCGCGTCGTGCTGTCAAGCGACGTGCTAGCAACTTTGGTACCATCGGGAGCAATGGCTAGTGATTGAAAGAGTTCAGTGTGTGCTTCAAACTGTTTGATAATATCTCCGGTTGCAGCATCTGAGATTCGGATGTCGCGAATGCATCCGCTGATCAGACGGAGACCGTCTGGAGTAAATGCGACAACCACTGCCTGTTGTTCTATTTTGAGGAGTTCTTTTCCATTGAATGCATTCCAAATCATGATATGCTCCCCAGTTCCTGCTGCCAGCCTGCTCCCATCGAAGGAGTATGACACCGACCACGCATTACTGCCCACCTGGAGTGGTCCAAGGGCAATTTTCCCTGTTTCCCTCAGCCAAACGCATACCGTTTTGTCATCCGATGCACTTGCGAATTTTTTGTTGTCCGGCGCAAAGACGACGCTCGAAACGCACATCTTATGTCCCTTGAACGAGACAGACGCACTTTTTTTCGTCGCCACTTCCCAGAGCAGGATGCTTCCGTCCATCGCTCCACTCACGATCCAATGCCCATTAGGAGATGCTGCAACTGTCACGACTGCGCTGTCGTGACCCAACAAGGGCTTCCCAACTTGTTGCCCCTTGACTAGATCCCACAGTCGAAGAGTTTTATCATCCGAGGCAGTGACGAGGAAATGAGTTCCAGGGATGACAGCCACGCCACGCACCCAGTCTTCATGACCCTCGAGCGTCAATTTAGCCCGAGGTTTTTCCTTTCTAGTGGGCGGGGCAGGCGCCTGAAAGACTGCATGGTCTTCGTGAATGTGGGATGCCATCGAATCTCTCTCGGTCAGAGAAACATGTCTGCCAATCCCATTTCATGATTCAGCCTCGTGGTCGGAATTCTCGGATCCACCCTACCACCCCTCGAGTGTAGCCTTTGTGAATTGTCAATTCAGGTTGTCCCCAATGGTGTGAGACTTCTAGAAAGTTTTCCTTCGCTATTCCGGTATCAGGGCCAAATAGTTACATCTGCCTTGTAAACTCTATTTCATCCATGAAATGCATCTAATCTATATTGACCACAACATCTATGCCACCATTTGCTCCCATCTTCATCGACACACTACAATAACGAAGAAGGTTGAATATACCGTATATTTCCAACAGTTGCCGCGCACCTAGACAAGTTTTCAACTAAATATGTTGGATGTTTGACTTCCATCTGTTCCTTGGTGTGCGATGTGATCAATCCGATCACAGCACACCCAGCGGTAAGACCACTTGCTACGCCTGACGGAGCATCTTCTACGACAAGGCCTATAGGACGGGTCAATGTCCTCAACATTGTTTTGACACAATCACTGACACTTTTCCGGCGAAACTCCACATTTCTGTGCACCAAGAAGATATGGGTCAGGGCTGGTGAAGGTGTTCAGTCAGTTCTGAATGGTTTAACGAATGACACTATTCCGTACTAAGGTTTCCCTTGTGTAACATCTTCAGCAGTCACAAAGGCATCTGGGATCGGGATTCCAGCAATCTCTAGAGCAGCTGATGCATAAGCACGGGTTGCAGATGTGACAATGGCCCAACATGGTTTGGGATTTTTCTTTCCGGGAGCAAGCTTTGTAATGATCAGCAATCAAGCGCAAGGAATGTAATATGTAATTCACTTCATCTATGATGTGGCGAACTCCAGGTAAAATGGTAATGCCCTTTCTGCCATTAGCTGTGGAGGAGGTTACGATGGCCTCTTCGAACCGTGCAGCCTCTTTCTGTTGGTAGACATCAATATCACGCGTGAATCCACTGAGAAATTGATAACCTCGAGCTCCGCTTCAGACGTAAGCCCACAGTACTTCCTCAGATTGTCAACAGTCCTAACACCATGTGCACCTAATTGTGAAGAGAAGCAACTCACAAACGGAAGATCCCGCCTGAGAGTCACTCACTGTTCAGGATCTTTTGAATATCTAGGCCTGAATATGTCTCGGCAAACGTCTCCCAGGCTCCGATCACGCCTGCTGTCGAATCGACCAAGGTACCGTCCATATCAAACAAGCTGCGATACTGCTCAGATTTGCCTCCTGGACAATATAACTTCGACTTACACGGCATCCACGTGGAAAGTGATAGCACTCATTGTTCTTTGTTAAAATATAAGATGATGATAGAGTTCAAGAGATGAGTCAAAATTCGTGGTGAGCGTGCTTCACGCAGCTGATCGACTGCATTACCACCCTGGAATATCAGATATGATCATTGACCCCAAAATTAATTGATCCCTGGGTCTCGGCTAGATTTCGGCCGAGCTTACCGTGGGGGAGATGATGGTTGGTTGGTTGACCTGCCGTGGGATGCTTCGAGTGCTATTGTCATGTGGCACACACGAACCAACCATCATCTTGTCGATGTCGTGCCAGTGAACCTTGTTTGGCTCCATTGTCTTGATGCGCTGGCATAGCAGAAAGAAACTTTTTTGCTAAATTGTTCTACGAGACACGATACTGCTCGTGGTTGGTGCAGGAGTGAATAGGTTTTCAGTAACAGCCTGACTCGGAGTGCGGGAGCGTTTGGATTGGATGACACTGGGGTTTAGCAACAGACAATTTGTCTGTGAAGCACACTCGTAGTACAATCACAATCACCCATCTCGCGGTCTCATATCCTCGGTATGGATGTGTGTCACTAGACCTCTAGAGGCAGATCTCAGACCTGACGTCCGCGTCACGGTGGTGCTGGTTAAACCCCGTTCAACGGACTTGTTTGTATCAGAGGCTGATGCCAAACAAACACCAGCCCTGCATCCAAATTTGGGACATTAATATTCTATTGACAGTTGCAACCATGGCTCCTCAAAGGCATACCCAAGAGAACATCGACCAGCAGCTGCAACAAATACATCTTCTTGATCCGTCATCGTCTTCCGAGAACCTTGAACAACTCGGACCTATCATCAAGCAAATCCATGCGAACCGTCAGCAGGAAGCATACCTGCGCAATCTTCAGGCTCTTATTGCAACAAAAGACAGCGAGATCGAGCAGATATGCACGGACAATTACCAAGAATTTATCTCCTCCGCTTCGACTCTTTTCACAGTCAAGTCATATACTAACAACCTCAGGGACAAGATCACAACTTTGGACGCCAGCGTATCTCAAGTCGGTCGAGGCTTGGTAGAGAAGAAAAGGACTTTACTGCAGTCCAAGAAGACGGCAGCCAAACTTGATGAAGCAATTGATACCCTGCAAGCTTGTTTGAAAGTTCTGGACGTTGTGAATCGAATCGGCGAATTGATCAAGGAGGAGAAGTATTGGAGTGCCCTGCGGGTATGTAACGTCACTCCTGTGGCCCTTAAAGTAATTGAAAGGAACCAATAGTCACTGGAAGACATACAAAGTCTGCCTTCGAATTCGCTGTCCCAGACGCCATTCTACCAGCATCTGCTGTCCTCTCTGCCTTCACTGCGGATTCAAATCCAGAATGCGGTCACAGCTTCTATGAAGCAATGGTTATTGGAGATTCGGAATGTCAGTGGGCTAGTTGGTAAATTGGCATTAGAAGCAATGGACTACCGGACGCGCAAGTGGAGATCACGTCGGGAGAAAGATCCTATGCTGAGGTTGAGCCGTGTTGGAAGCGCAGTAGAAATGGTGATCCAAGAGCGGTCCGATAGTGAGCTCTATCCTTGCCCTCAATTCATTCGGTCGATTAACATCCTGCTGTTAGTTAATGTTCTCGACAGCGAGAAATTAAAGGTTGATTTCACGCCCCTTTACCAATGCATACATATCTACACAACGTTGGATTCAATTGATGACTTGCGAAGATCTTATCAAGCAGATCGTAAAGTGCGGCAGTGCTCTGCTTTCTCTTCTTGCCAACTCAATCTGAATACAGGCGCAATCAGACCTTATTTTACCGGATCCGCTTCCGCTCGCCTCCCTACCCAATCTAACTCAGGAAATATGCGGATTCTTTATCATAGAATCGCATGTTCTTGAAACGACTGGCAACTTCCGTTCTGAGAGGGAGGTCGAGGAGTTATGGGAAGCGCTAGTTGCGCGTCTTGCGTCAGCTGTTAACGAGTCTTTGGCAAACGAGACTGACCCAGATTCTTTTTTGAGGGTAAAGGAGTGTCTCATTGGATTCGTCACGACGCTGGAGGTATGTATCTGATATTATTCACAAAAAAATCAAAAGGGTGACCGCCTTGCTAGTCCTATTCGTATGCCACCCAGTCACTGCACTCACTCATCCTTACGCTGTTCGAGAAGTATGCCGGCCTTCTTGAAGGCCAGTTCAGTCGTAGGTTTGATGGTGTAAGTTATGCGAGGTTTTTCTTTCGTCGTCGCGCTCAAGATCCACAATCCAGATTTTCCTCGAAGACGACCATCTCCCTATGCAAGTTACGATACCGTCTGAAAGAGATTCTGTGCTTGCAGTCGTATGGTTGGACCCGTCAGAACAAGAGGCTCTTTCAAAGTATGTCATCACATCCTTCTGAGAATAAGCAGCTCAGGGGTTCCATAGGAGCGATCTACCTCTTAGTCTACCATGGTCGCAAGGTTTTTTCCTGTGCTGCCAAGATGTAATGTGTCATGGTTTACACTCCATCTTTGAGCTCATTTGTAAATATGTACCCGCAGATCCGAAACTTCATACAAAAGTTTTATCACTTTGTTGATGGGGTATCACAGCATCATGGCAATATTGACGAATTATTGAACAAGGTGAGGATACTATGGATCAAGATGTCAAACTAATCAAACTTAATCGGACAGTCGCTAGACAAACTGCTTGCAAACCATATCAGCGGCAGTATTTCCAAGTGCTTAAGTAGCACATCAACGCTTAGTCAAGTCGTTCAGATTGTTTCAAATCTCGAGCATTTTGAGGTTGCATGTTCGGAACTGGAACGTTCACTGACGAGTCTCCGGTAAAACATTCATCATAAGCCATTTGTAACTCTCTCAAACCCTTCCATCATCAGGTCGACACAGCGGGGTGGTGCTATCCGGCTGTCTTCCTCCTCCTTTGCCAACACTATCACCCGTGCCCTCAACCGTGTGACGGGTCTTATCACCTCTAAACTAGATGACTTCTTTGATTTGGCAGAGTATGATTGGACGCCGCAATCCCGCGAGGACACACCCAGCATGTACTTATATGAACTTATTAATTGGCTCACGACAATTGTGGACTCTCTCGTTATCAAGGAGGTATACAAAGATGAGGCATATCGAGGAGCAGTCGGATATATCGCCGAGTGCTTGATGGTGAGCAGGCGGTTCGTCAGCGCGTTATCATGCACGGGGCGCTCACGGCTCATTGCAATCAGAACTTCATGATCGGGCCTGACGTCCCAGCGATGAACGAGAACGCCGTCTCAAATATTTTGGTGGATACAGAGTTCCTGGAAGGGGAATTAACCCGTATTGGCCGGGACCATCTCAGCTCGGTTTTCGCTGAACTTCATTCGGTAAAAACATACCCAGACTCCTTTATAGGTTGGCTGACAGTACAAATGCTGTAGATGGCATCAGTAATATTAAACGACGCTGTACAAGACTATCTAGTACCGCAGGTCCGGCAGACAACGTATTCCGTTATCCGACCGAAGAGACTCCAGACACTCCTTGAGAAACTGACCAGGTACGGGTCGAGTCGGCGTGACGCCCAATCACGAGAAAGAGGGGACAGACGAAGGAAGGAAGCAGAAGCCGTTGGGCGGGTATTTCCTGGAGAAAACCGATGATACATGTCGTATACCCTTTTATGTCGAGCCTTGCAGTGTGCACACCTTTCTGATCCGCTTTGATAGCAGTGCATATCAGCCTCTAAGGCTCAAAATTTATAAAACACATGAAAGAGAAAACGGGTAATTCAAGAGGGAGTGCAAGCGAAGGCAGAGTAAAGAAATAGCAGACGGGCACATAATTTTCGACATCGTAAGGATCGGGAGACAATGCGCGTGCAAGATCCAAACACGACAGAAAACCACATATTGCTTAAGACCGACGCTTAATGTTGGTCGCCAACCACTCCAGACCCTCGTACAGTCCATCACCAGAAGTGGCACATGCAGCCTAACGGCGTCTACTGTCAGCGGATCTAACGATTTGAGAGATAAACGACGGACCTGGATGTACCACGTTCTCTGCCTAAGAGCTTGTAATCCAAGCTTGTCAGTGATCTCTGCCGCATTCATGGCGTTGGGGAGATCTTGCTTGTTTGCGAAAACAAGGAGGAGAGCATCCCGCAGTTCATCTTCGTTCAACATTCGCTGAAGTTCCTCACGAGCCTCCGATACACGTTCCCGATCGTTCGAGTCAACCACGAAGATGATACCTTGCGTGTTCTGGAAATCTGAAGAAAACTAATGAGCTCGGTGATGACGCAGATGGAAAGACAGCATACAGTGCCTCCATAGAGGTCGGATCTTATCTTGTCCTCCGACATCCCACACAGTGAAGGAAATGTTTTTATATTCGACAGTCTCAACGTTGAATCCTGCAGCAGAATTAGAGGATTTTGTATCATAGGTAAATGGGGAAAGCTTGCCGATGGTGGGGATGGTAGTTACAATCTCGCCCAGCTTGAGCTTATACAGGATGGTAGTCTTACCAGCGGCGTCAAGACCGACCTGGATAAAAGTTAGCGAACGACATTGTGACTCAAACTCAATTTCCGACCATCAAAATTCCTGGAAGAAGATACAATAGTCAGTTTCTAGTCGATATCGGGGATCATAGTATAGATGGTGGAGACTTACGCATCTCCTTCTTGCCAAAAAGACCAGCAAGGAGACGTGACACCGAGAGACCCATGTTGAGCTAGGAAGTGTAAGGACGTTAATGAGTTGTAAACTAGAGGTCAAGAACAAGTTTGTCGTCGTGTGTGAACAACCCTTTTGAACTCCGCTGGTGGCGGTTCCCTTCTTGGTCTTCCACGTCTGCTGGTCATCGCCAACTATTAAACTAACAGCCTTAACGCGGACCTTGATAAGGGGGCCATGCAGCGAACAATAATACCCTCACCATTACCAAGACTAATAACATTACACTATATTGCGAACATACTACGAAACCCCTCGTCCTACCACTGAACCACACAGAGAAGCATGATCTACCAGCGACGCTTCCTGAGATCGGTAGCCAGCCATTCTAGGCCCTCGTACAAGCCGTCGCCCGAAGTTGCACAAGTAGACTGCAGCACATCAACACAGGGCTGCCACATAGACGAGGGATGCGTACCTGGATGTACCACGTTCTCCGTCCGAGCATCCGCAATTCCAGTTTATCGGTGAGTTCACTCGCGCTCATAGCGCCAGGCATGTCCTGCTTATTTGCAAACACAAGCAAAAGCGAGTCCCGTAATTGGTCGTTGTTCATCAGCATGTGAAGTTCCTCTTTCGCTTCTGAAATGCGATCGCGATCGCAGGAATCGACCACAAAAATAATGCCCTCTGCATCATTAAAGTCTGGATATTGATGAGAGACCATTTGCACGACCACATAGTGAATGTCATACAGTACTGCCAGAGCAGACGAATCCTTTGTTGACCCCCGACGTCCCACACGGTGAACTGGATTTTCTTGTACGCAACCGTTTCCACGTTGAATCCTGCATTTATGTGATAAATAAGGCCGGTAGGTCACACTAACCTGTTTACCTATTGTAGGAATGGTCGTGACAACCTCGCCGAGCTTCAGCTTGTAGAGGATCGTTGTTTTCCCCGCATTGTCGAGTCCAAGCTATTGATCCTGTAAGTATCGGTCTCAACATCTTGTTCAGGACAATACCATCAGTAGTCCTGTAGGATGTGTTAAGCAGCCCGTTTTGATTGAGACTTTGTGTATAGCACTTACTTGACTCCTGTTGGGTGAATAGCCCTGAAAAAATGTGAGAAATAACAAGTCCCATGTTGTCTGAAAGAGTTTCTGCGGTGATCTAATCGTCTGGCCATTGCATGAACACCTTTATATTGAGTATTCTCGTGACACGTCCAAGAGAGTTTTCAATACGTGTCCCTGGTAGACTGCTGCGCTTACACGAATCACCTAGATCCTGACTCACAAATTCCGGCAGCTGTGGTGAGATACTTGACATGAGTCAATTGCTGCCAGTGTCCCGTCTACTTTCACACTGCTTTGCGACTGGTCAAGACTTGCTATCAGGCTTATCCTGTATTTGATGTTGCCAGAGTATCTGGTTTCATTCGATATGTTTGCCACGCATGAGCAATTGCAGGCCGCGCGCTTTGAGAGGACCGAGTAGACCGACTTGTATATCCGCAGATTCATAATGAGATTAGCTTTAATCACAGCCTCAGATTAAGATCTAGCACTAATGGACACACGACAGAGTCTATCTTACTCAGGTTGGATTTGTCGGCCATCGTGGCAGGTCTGAGCACATGGCAGTAAATGACATTATATTGACAGTACAAAAGGTAGGGTAATGTACAACGTAAGACTTGCAGGACGAAAGCGATGGAGAAACATATGATACAAAGTAAAGTCAAGCTACACGGAAAACATGATGATGCTGCAGGAAAAGATGCCAAAAGACGTGTTGTACAACAAGATAAACGATCCACTACTATGTTCTGTAGGACTAGAATTAGAGTGTCTTATGATGAAACTAGGAAGGTATGCAATTGAGCGGCTTTGGAGAATAGCTTACTTTTCCAGGTATGCCGCCATCTCAATTGAGCGACAACCCAGTTTCTTAATTACCCCGTAGGGCGTTGCTGACCCTCTGCCGCCACGAGCGGTAAATCCCGCAGGAGGGGCTGGGAGTGTATCTGCAGAGTTCAAAAAGAACCAACTGCTCTTGAAAACCAGCGTTGAACCAAACTTGTTCACGGGCTAATTCAGGCCAGTGAGTCTCATCGTGCTCACTGAAAAATAGAGTGGAACCGACCTTTTCTCACTTCGTCCATGGCCTGCGTCGCGTTTATGCGCTTCGTGTACATGACTAGGAGAGACATTCAGTTAGACCGCTGCTAAGCTGAGCAGGAAGACAACTAACGGTATGCCGCGACTACTGCCGCACTGCGAGATAAACCCTGCAGGCAATGTACCAACACCACCCCTCGTGCTTGTAGGGCTCGATCAATGAACTGACACACAGCGGGCATATGTATCAGGAGATCAGCGGTGTCGACATCCTCCACAGGAATTCGAAGAAAGGTAATTCCACTTTCGGGCAGCTCGGAAGGGATAGGGTCGTTGCAAACGGAGACAATATGAGAAATATTGCGCTCCGATAACGACCGCGGTGACCTTGCTGCATGGATACTGGATGAAGAAATCAAAAAATTAGAGTCTGGACTGTACAGCAGTTCGGATCCGCGGCATACTTACTTTCCAAGATAGAGTTTGCCCTCGATGATTGTGTCGACGTTCTTCCAGCCCATGTTGTTTAACTGATTTGTCTTGGAAAACCTGCGAGAATGTCTAAAGTCCTCCTCAAATTCATTGTTGGTTTTGTACCTCCTCGTACAAGGACTATTCTGCCCTCCGAGCACGGCTCGGAGAGGATGGAGTAGCCGTGTTTGTGGTCACCATGGTTCAGCGTTCTGTGAGGTAGAAACATGGCGGTGTGGTAAACGTTGGGTAAACGGCTTCATCACAGCCAATTTCGAGCGGGACACGAAGAAGATATGAAAGCAGTGCAGTGGAGAAGTCCATTTTACCACAGTTATGAAAAGCGCGTTCACCGCCACCCCAAGTCATAACGCTGAAAATACGCTATATTTTTGAGATCACTATTAACGAGACGGACGTGGCTTACGTCATATCCGGGGGTACCCCTCCCCAGTAATCCTGTGCTGTTCCCTCCGATCCTTCTTCTCGCGCAACGTGAGATACTGAAATTATCCAAATAAGGCAAGTTTAGGCCTCATTCGGTGATACGCTAGTAAGTCCGTGAACATTCCGGGTATTGCAGTCACCCGAGTCGAGTACACACCCAGAGACAGGCAGAGTCTATGTGTCGGTGCAGCACGCAGTGTAAAGGCTATCTTCGAACAACGTCATCGATATCGATGTACACTGAAGATTTCTTACCAGACCATCATCGTGAGCTGGGTCAAAAAATATCAATATATGAACATACAATGCGGCCTTGCAAATGGAACAAACTATGTTGATAGAAGGCGTGGAGAGCGGAACATGCAATAGAAAGATTGATAAGCAACCGGGAACTGGACGTACCTAAAGCCGCAAACTTTGGGTCAATCTTGAAAACATTAGACTGGTCTTGGTCTCACAATCGCTCGGCATTCATCCGATATACAGCATGAACGGATAACATCACGGACCGTTGCAATACCGTTGGTTACGGTGTCACTTCAACTTATTGGTGCGCTTAGTGCTCATAAACGAGTTGATTGCCCCGAGAGTGCCACGTGACTCAAGGGCGCACTTGCCTGCCCGCCGCCATTTCCGATTCCTTAGGCACAGACCAATGCTAAGCGTGGACCGCAGCGGCGTGGCTGCCGTTGGCATGCCTAAGGTGTGCTGAGATCACGTTCCGGTGGCCGCATCGCCGAATGGCATGTTTTTGGGATTTACAAAGGCCGCCAGGCAGCTGGCGGCCAAGTTGACAGTCACAGTTATTAAAGCATGCAGTCAGAGGCCAGAAGCCATTTTTGCTTTTATCAATCTTTCCCTCGTGGTCACTATCAGTACTCTACTATCTCGTTGCGATGAAATTCGAGGTCGTGTGGAAATCATCAGTGAGTTGATATTCAAGTCTTTCTTGTCTGTGAATCTAATGACCAGAAAAGCACTACCACTCCGATGGTCGTCGCCGGAGCAGACCTAAACCTTCAGTCTTCCATGGATGGCTAGTCAAATGGCGCGCTACATTTAGTGGAAATGAGCAACTTCGACGAGAAGGCATACGCGAAATGCGCGAAGCTAAAGCCATCAAGCGACAGAAGAAGGTTGCGAAGAGAGCCAAAAACGACCGGGCAAAGCCGGGACTGTTCTCATGGTTCAGCTTTGGAAACACAAAAAAGACAAGACGGGCTCTTAGACCCGACGGACTGGCTCGGAGCTCACACAGGAGCAACAGCAGCCGACAAGCGGCTCGGATCAGCCGACGACCTACAAGACAAACTTCACGACAACCGTCATATAATTCTAAACGAGGTGTCGCACGGATGAGGTCTTCCAAAAAATGATCACACTACATCCTGAGTCCTGACGTGTTGAGGTACTATCTATTATCATAATTATGTATTTGAACACACCACCTGCAGGGACTTGTTTATCTCGGAAGTAATGCTGTAACTTATACTTACCTCTCTAAGGACTATTATTTGATAGTCGAAACTATAATGATTAGACTCGATGACGGTCAACTCGAATTGGTAGGCTCGATATGTTTGTGCATTACACGGGAAGGGGACGTGACAATGTGATGAACTGAATTTCAACAATATGCAATAAATCGCCAGGCACACAGTGGCAGTCTCGGGTCGGGTGCTTTGGCTTTAGTAGATGGAAAAGATGAAAAGATGATACTCGTGGATGCGAGATATAGATCTGCATGGGCAATTACGAAGTGTATAGGCGAGAATTTAACTTTCCGCGTCAACTTTGAAAAGGATGCTTTTTCTTTTTGCGTCTTTTGCGCTTCTTCTTGGAACTATCCGGGTTGTCATCCTTACCGGATCCATCGCCCCGGTCCGGCGGTCCGTCAAGATTCAGCAGCGGAACCGTTAAACGCAGAGCCTCTGGATGACGAAGTGCATGCGGAAGTGGTGAAGGATGTTGAGTCGAAATATCCGGGATATTCAGTTCGCCATCCCGTTTCAACTCTGTGCTCTTGTTTACATCCATGTATTGAAACAGCAGAACAATGACTCACCTGTTTGCAAAGCAGCCATTGAAAATGGACCGGATGTCGAAAATGAGACGGAAGACGATTTACTGCCGAGAGGAGGTGAATTGACAGAGAGATTTTGATTGCCGGATCGGTCTGGGGTGGTAATAGACTGCGAATGGGGGATCGTCTGCTCGTGGAAGCTCGAGCTTCGTTCGCTGTCAGTAGCAGAGCGCTTCCGTGGTTTCTTCCCCCTTTTCTTCACAGACGAAGGTGAGTTAATTTTACTCGCTTCAAGTGAGGATGATACGGAAGTAATGTGGCGTCCTTGTTCCAAATCATCATCACCCCCGGTCTTGTTATCCCCACCATCCGCCTGCAGATGCGGGGAACTCGGCTTCTGGGTTGATTGCGTGACAGAGGTCCCAAGCATTTTCGCTTTCGTCTTCGATCTTACTGCGAACGGATCAAGTTTCATTTTCTTTTTAACCGTCCCTCCCCTTCTTTCTTCGTCTTCTGAATGATGTTCCGGATTAAGCGTGGTATCATCTTTGGGGGTGCGCTTGAGTCCTTTCCCTATCAAGTGATGCTTTAGACGCGCAGCGTCACGAGCTGTTGTAGAAGATTCCGGTATCGGAGCACCAACACCCAGTCTACTCGGTAATGTACGTCAATTATAGAAACCACCACCGTCATTTATACTATGACACACCTAGGAGGTCTACGTAGTTGCTCATCGAGTAACTTTTGAGCATCCACTGCGCCTTTGCTGAGATTAGCTTTATGTGCAGGCTGTATCCACGATGAGACTAGATCTTCTGCAAATGACATGGACATATTGATTTGGGCCTGCAACGTTTCTGTGTCAATATCGTGGTCAGCTATTAGGTCCATCGTTTCTGTCGTAGACATCCTGCAATAAATGAATAGTGAAGTGTATGGGATCGTAGTTGAGGCATACAGAGTCCAAACGAGAGACTGGAAGCACCCCTGTGTGCAAATAAAATTTTGGTTTGGACTCGTTGGGTATCGTTTCCCGCGGTCCAATATATCTCGCCTAGCACCAACTCATCATACCACACCACATATCTTCCTAGCTTGAAGCCGGCCATTCACGTCGTCATACGCAAGACTGAAATGATTTCCGTTGGTCTCAAACGCAAATGGGAAGATACAGAATATGATTCAGACGATGATGAACCAACTTTCGGAAAACAAATATTGCCTGTGGCGAATTTATCTATAAACTTTGACCGCGAGCCAGAAGATGGACTGGAATACCTGTTCACGGTCAGGTGAGTTGACATGGTTGCGTTTAGTTCTCTGTTCATACTTCCACAGACGTGATGCACGGCGGCTACCGCACGTTACGAGGGTCACTAACCCGTACGAACTGCCCGAACCCGTTCCGCCACTTGATCTCGTGCAATCCGATAGCTCACATAGCAACCTTCCCTCTGAACTTTGGCGTTCTACTTTCTTAACACACTTTCGAAATTTCAGAAAGGTAACTGTCCGCCGTCAGGCTTGTGTACCTGAATGGGTGATGAACTTTGACCTCCAGAACATCGCTCAACCAACTATCCACGTGCATATCGATCCTCACGGATCACGGAAGGTTATGCCAGATAAGAAGGAAAGAGATCTATGGTGGTCATTTCTTGCCGGTTCACCGGAATCAGACTGGAACCCACCCAAAAAAACAAAGAAAATCTCGACAAAAAATAGATCCTATGGTCACATGTCAGCGTTTCGCGACGAATCGGAGGTGGAATATAACATTAATGACCAGCAAAATATTCACGAAACCCACGAGACCTGGCGTATCAATTCAGAAGGCGACGTTGAACTCGCGGAGGATAATCTACCAGGTACACCATCATCCGCAGCTCAGTCACGTTCAAATGGTTCTGGCTTATCTATGTCACTAGTGCAGACAGAATCCGGGAACACGAGTTCCTTGCTGACTCGTCCAGGCCCGGAACAGCTTTGTAAACCTCGTGAGATCACCCCCTCATTGCTGCGAAAAATAGATCATGTGCGTATGACAGTGCCTTCAAGCGTCTCAAGCTAAATCGAGTGCAGAATTTGTCCCTGCACCTTCTTATGTACTTCGCTCACTGGATGAATATCCACCTGCAGCACCCCGCTGAACCAACCTTTACGATCCTTGAGAGTCATGCACGTTGGATGTTTGCGTTGTTGGCTAAAGTGGAAGACTTCATTTCAGCGGATGACATGAGTCAACTCAGGAGCCTAGCCCGCGCTTGTTTGGAGCTACTTGTCCGGCGACTGAAGGCCGAGAAGCCTGGAGTGCCTGACAACGCGTCATCCAAGATTGGCATGACTGACGCGTCGTGTTGGATTATTTTTACGGCCGTCTCTGGCATATGGGGACAAAGTGATCTTTGGCGGGACGCGGAGAAGTTACTGGCGAGTGCTTAATGTCGTATGGCTATATCACTGACTACGTCAGAGCTAATTCAATGGCGATCATCCGTGCTTAGCGGTCCGCTGGTTGAAATTTGAACACTAGTGTGCACGGCAAGACGGGAACCTCGTTGTTTGTGGACTTCGGACTTCGATTTCAAGTCGCAAACATGATTGTGATGGTGTTTGACGCATGCAGGAATGAACGACCGGTACTTCATTCCGATGGTGTCGGTCGTTCTCTGCGCATTGTACTTCTCAGTCACCGGTGTTCATGCATGGACGAATTCCGGGCCTTCAACAATGTTTTCTTCATTGGGAGCCCGAACAAGCAGGCCTATAGTTATCTCTCGCGCTTATCACACGTTATATATACAGTGAACGTTTGAACCCCCTATAATGTCTTTGATCACCAGATCATATCGTTTGTTAATGCACGGGCTGAAACCCCCTTGATGATCATTGTCATCAACATGCATGTCTTGGCGATCACGACGTGGGAACCAAACATGCGATAACACTTATTCGGGTCGGCATCAAATTTAGACCCAGCCGTAATATGTCCAAGCGAGACCAGGCGAAACTTTTTAATTGCCCTTTTCACCACGTTCGTTACCTTCAAAAAAGAAGTCAGACTCTTTTTCAGCCCCCACCACCTACTTACTTGGTTCAGCAAGCATGCGCACTTCCGTCGCTATCCTTTTGGCCTCCATCGCGTCTGCCTTTGCCTACGAGGTCACCTCTCCAGGTGATAGCGAGGGTTGGACAACTGCTGGACCCAACGTCCTGACTTGGGAGCGCGTTGACACCGACCCAGCGAACTTCACGGTGGTGTTGACCAACGTGGCATGTGTATTGGCATATGCTCTACTGAAGAATTCTAATACTCTTTGCTCAGAACTATGGTGTCATGAATCCTCAGGTTCTCAGCGCACTTGTTGATGGGACCCTGAGCTCAGTCGTCTGCAACGCTCCAAGTGGAGGCTGGCCTGTGGGCGCTGGCTTCCGTGTCAACCTTGCTGCAGATGCTCAACATCTCGACACCCTGCTTGCTCAGTCCAATCAATTCAACATCACCTCTGGCTCGTCAACTTCAACTTCTTCCACAGGTTCTGGCGCAAAAATTACTACTACTGCTCTTGTGTATGTTTTATTTCATATTAAGCTACTATCCCTGACCAATTCTTCATAGCTCTGGGACTACCGCAACAATTCCGGCCACTGCTGTAGCAGCGTCTACCACCAGTTCAGACACCAGCACAACCCCCACTGGTAGTAGCGCAGCCATCCTTGGAATGAAAGTGGAGACGGGTCTCCTGACCGCCGTTGCAGCCTGCGTTGCCTTTATCACCACTCATTTCTGAACATTCGCGTAAAAATATGTTATCCTTAGACACTCGGATATTTTCTCTTCGTGTAGTGTTTTTTTTTTTTGCAAATTTGCATTATGGTTGCTGTGATATGGACATCTTCCTGATACCCTCACATAGTCGCAGCAATTCATTCTTCATTACTATATCGTACATGCTTCTCGCCTTGCTCTCGAGATTTTGTCGATAATCATATTCAGTGGTAGCTTTCTCACCATTCACTGGGTGGGGTTAGTAGTCTGTTTCAGATCTCAGACCTTGAAGAAGGAAGACGTTCCATTTTTTTCTCACCTCGCCTTCCTCGGTTGAATCAACAATGTCTACTAATTCTTACGAACATCTACTTCCTCCCAGTTGGAAGGCTCAGGTCACGGGTTGGCTTGCAGAGGATACACCATCATTTGATTACGGTGGTTACGTTGTGGGTGAGGTTCACCGTGAAGCATTTCTTTTCGGGAAAGGCAACCAGGCTGCGGTCTTGGCCGGACGGCCCTTCTTCACTGAAGTCTTCGCACAGCTTGGATGCGAGTACGTTCTCATGACGATGTCATCAATTCCCTGTGATTGATGGACCTGCAGGGTTAAATGGCACTTGGAGGAGGGCGAGACTTTCGAGCCCATCAAGCACATCGCTACTGTTCGAGGGAAAGCAAGGCACCTCCTGCTTGGCGAGCGTATCGCCTTAAACATGCTTGCCAGGTGCAGCGGCATTGCAACAAAGTAAGCTGCGCATTTGTCCTGATTGTACCTAATACCTATCATGTTTACGTCCTCGTCTTCCTGGGAAGATCTAAACGTATCAAAGATCTTGCGGTAGGTTATGGTTACAAGGGTATCATTGCTGGGACCAGGAAGACAACTCCAGGTAAGCTGCCCCTTCAAGTAGCTTGGTCTGCTCACGATCACCAGGGTTTCGGTTGGTCGAAAAGTATGGAATGATTGTAGGAGGTATTGACCCTCACCGCCACGATCTTTCGAGTATGATCATGCTCAAGGATAATCATATATGGTCATCTGGTGCGCCTCGGTTTACGAAGTACTTAATTAAAGATCCGCTGATATCAGTCCAAGGATCAATCACCGCTGCAATCCAACAGGCCCGCGCAGTGGGCGGCTTTAGCTTGTTGCTTGATGTGGAAGTTGGTTCGGAAGCTGAAGCAGATGAGGCAATCGAAGCGGGCGCTGACATCATTATGCTGGACAATATTGAAGGGGAACATCTTGTGAGCGTCGCTCGAAAGCTCAAGGAGAAGTGGGCTGGGAAACGGAAGTTCCTCTTCGAGACGAGCGGTAACATCACCGAGGCTAACCTGCGAGAACGTGCAATCAATGGTTAGTGGATGTTTGCTTCTTGATGGCCTATATTTACCGTATCATGATAGACATCGACATCCTCAGCACAAGTATTGTTCATCAGTCCGTCCAACACATAGATTTCAGCTTGAAGATCCAGATACCTCATTAATAGACACTTGGATATACATTATGTGTATACTTGATCATGGAGATCGAAAAGTCTGAGCGCATTCAAACCTAGGATGTTAGCCTGGTGTTCCGGTTTGGAATCTACACCAGGCATTCCCCGGATGGCTGCCAGATTGCTCTCTACGCTCGGCCACTTTTGGCTCGCTTCCAGTGGCGGGAAGAATGGGTGATCGGTACCAAACAATAGTCTGGAGCTTCCGACTACAGGATCAATAGTCCCTCCACCATTCTTGAACGCAGATGCACGAGAAATGGTTCGGCTAACGAAAGTCAACTCCTCGGGCCCGTACGCGACGGCGTCGAAATAGAGTTGGCCAAGGTAATATCTTAAATCGTGCTTCAACCTATTCGCAACGATAGGATCATGTTGGATGCACGAAGCCAGTCGAGATGACAGCTGAGGCAAGGCTCCCCCAGAATGAGCTAAGAGTAAACGGAGGTCTGGGAAACGATCCAAAACACCTGAGAGAATGAGGCGCGTGATGGCCTAAACATCAATGTAAAAACTCATGCTTTGATCATTAATCGCGAAATATTACCTACAATGGTTGTCTCGAAAGGAAAGCCCAAGGCTAGTGGCAAAACATGACCATTATCATTCTCTCCAAATGCTGTGCTGTCAACACCATAGTGTGGGTGTATGAAGACGACAAGCCTCGCTGCCTGAATAGCGTCCCAGATTGGATCTAACGCACTGTCATCAAGACCTTTCCCGATGCCCTTGGTTCCCATGATGATGCCTCGGATGTGAGGCAGTGATTTAAGATATTCTATAGCTTGAACGATGGCAGACACTTCTACATCCGGGACAAGAGGGAGAAGGCCGAAGCCGTAGAGCGTTTTGAGACCAGAGAATCCTTCGGCAGGGGGAGAAGTTGCACAATACTCTTCGAGGTTATTATTCAGTTCGTGGGCCAGCGTCTGAGCTCGATCCGCTGGTAAGAAATCGAGCCATGGATTGGCTGAACTGCCGGCGAGAGTGATCGGTCACTCCGTACTATTCGAAGAAGCGAACGAACAAACCTCACGAATGAGATGTTTATACCATGCCTGCGCATGAATTCAAGCTTCTCATCCCGATCCCAGTACTGATATATTCTAAGTGAATTGTGCTTGTACTTCATTTGAAATAGTAGACATACCTGAGGACCAACTGGGCGACCACCGCTTGGCTCTCCATCCAAAATCAACAATCTTTCTTCAGTCTTGACCCCATTTGTCCAGTTCAAGATACGAGGAGCTGAGGTTCTTGCACGAAGCTCAGCTGCGTACTGAGGCAAGTAAACATGGGTGTGCACATCAACAATCGGATGCCTTATGTTCGCCATCCTCGTGACGCTCTTGAGCAGCTCAGTCATAACGCGCTGACCTGGCTTTACTGGATTCATCAATCGATAAGGCCGGTGACCTGCCAAATACGCGCCGGGACAAATTTTTATGGATCTGGAGGGCCGCTGATGGCGGCGCAGTAATAGAAAGTGGTATTCGTGCCGGAACCTTTTCACTCGAATAGTCACGTACTCAAGGGTTCCATTTATCATTCGTCGGCAACGTCAACTGGCAGGCATGCTGGACGCTAGTCGGCTGGTGCTTTTACTTCATAACACTCATGAGCAACGAACTGCAGGCGCGTTCTCCATTATCCAGAGCGCGCGGAGTTCATGAAGAGGCCTGTGGTTTTATTTCTACGATATCAACGCGGTCACTCACAGCGCAGCCAGTGGATGCAGGTCACAGATTCGCTCCGCCGTATAGGCAATGAGCTCAACCAAATAGTTATCGACTCAATGGACGAATCTAGAGCACACAACACCCGAGCTACGGAATGGGAAACCAAACATCATGATATTGTCACGGAGAACAACGCCTTCAGAGCTCATAACGAGGAATTGAAACGTCTACTCGAACTCAGCAAGCCTGATACAAGAAACGTAATCGAGAGCAGAGACGCCGCATATCGTAAATTGCAACATGTACAGCGTGTAATGCGCGATCTCTTAATGGACATGGACTTGGCGGTAACACATCTACCTTCTTTGTCGTATTACGTCCCTGAGATCAAGGTTCATATTATAGCCTGATTTTGGAGATAGCCCAAATGAAGGTGCTTCACTGCTGTTACAAGCAGAGCCTGAGCCGAAATACAAGGATATTGGCGCCTCCTCGTCCCCATCGGGCCAAAGTCACAGAAACGATAAGTCCTCTAACAGCTCTGGTTCTGGCAAGACTGCGCGCCCAATGTCCAAAGGAAAGGAGCGTAGCTCGCCCAAAACCCCGATGACTGTGCCAATTTCATCTCCAGCCTCAACTTCATACTCTCGCTCATCAAGGACAGGAGTAAGCGGCGGAGTTGTATCCGATCTCAGCAATCAGCAGAGATCATCTGAATCCAACAGCTCATCCGAACCATCTACGGATTTGTCCGTACATACTGCGAGAAAGTCTTCTGGCGGTGTCGGCGATGTTTGGAAGCTGACTTCATCTCGCAGCCCCCGGAGTGCGGAAGTCATTTATCCTGTCGACATGCAAATGTTTCAGGAACAGCTGAACCTTGGCGAAGATACGGTGAGTAGCTCGAGCATATCATATGTACAATCTAATGTTGTACAGATATATTCTCTCGAAAGGTACCTAGTATTGTTATCAATAGTTCATCCATGTTCAACCTATATTCAGCCTTGGACAGGCGGATGAACATTGTTTCCCTCTACAGATTGTCGACAACATGGCGTTTGTCCACGACCCGTTCTCGATGGATGGACCAGGCGGATCTTTTTTGATGAACTGGGGCACCCCAGGCGCCAATGAGACAGTCCATGCGTACATCGTCAAGAACTGCCCTAGAGACCGTGTTCTCCACACATTCACCTTTCCCGTGAAAAGGGTGAGCTGTCCATGTCAACCAGGATCAGGTTCTGATCATCTTATTTGATCATGTATAACAGGGAGTTTGGTATTATATTGGCGCCCAGAAATGGAACGTGAAGGACATTTTCGAGATCTGGTCCACTCTGGGTGATAAAGTAAGTCTGAGGAGCCTTGTACAAGGACGGTTGACTTTAATTTTCGTTAAGGCTAAGGAAGTCGTCACCGGTAAACTACAGAGACGTTGCAACCGCGGGCTCTCCCAGCAAGAAATTGCTGAGATGATTCAAGATGGGCGACTGCAGCAATTCTGTATTGAAGTGAGCGGTCGTTTATTGAAAGATGTCAGTCGAGCATTTGCGAAGACGAGTTTAGGTTATGAAGGAGGGAATGTTGCCCAATGATCCTGATAATATCTTAATGTCTCTTTTTTTCGTTGTCATTTTTTCGTACTTGGGATGTATAATCACGATGGAGGACAGGATTTGCACGATAGAATCTCAGTCTGACTGAGACGAGTTTAGGCCCGATGATCCGAGTCTTGATATCTTTTGTTTCGTTACCATGTTTTATACTTGGTGCAACAACGGAGGACAGGATTTGCACAATACAGTCTAAAACGATTCACCGTGCACCAGCATGTTAGAACGTTGATATCGAGTCGAACGTGTATGGATTTGCATAAAAAATTTGGGTAACGCCCTGAGTTGCCGTGGATGAAGTGGATTACTATTGGATTACCAAATTGGACGGGGTTAAGTTTGAGCGCTAGTAATAATGCTATTAACAGAATGCAGCAGCGGACAATGTCAACCATCACGATCTGTTGATATCTCGTTTCTTTTCGTTTTTCAGGCCAACCAACAACGCATAGCGTTGAAAGGGCACGCCTTTTATCCTCTTTCTTTCTTTACCACCATACGATGCGTTGTTCTCATCCGGAGCACGCTCGCACACTCCTTTTCACCACAATCTTGTTCGTACTCTCATTTACCGCCACTCTCGCAGAGTCAGCGAATGTTCATGGTTTCCGAGCCCATCATGCCTGGCGCAGAAGAGCACCATTAGATGTGATTGCCAGAGATCAGGTTTTAGCATTAACAACTCCCAGTCAGAGCTTGTTGTCCAGTATCACCAGCGCCGTGTCGCCCGTCACGGTGCTCAGTGCGACTATTACCTCGCTTCCCCCGATACCCGCTCTACAATCACCTACGTCTAATCCCTTTCCAAATCCGCTAACAAATCCATTGGCTACAACCTCGAGTTCCTCTAGCCCTACTCCTCCATCCGTCCCTACGTCGACCAGTACCACCAGTGCCGCCATCCCTATCACAAGCAATGGGACTCCTGTTTCGTCAGTTTTATTATTATTTTCCTCTACAGCAGATTTATGTCCTATTACAGACAAACTACCTCTTCTCAGTCTTCCTCCTCTTCTCAGTCTTCCTCCTCTTCTCAACCTTCCTCTTCTAAATCTTCCCCTCAACCTTCCGGGTCTACGTCCACATCCACGTCCACGTCCGCAGCACCTCCTGTCGTTGCAATAACGCCGGCTGCACAACCGCTGGGACTCACGTCCGTGTCAGTATATACAGGCACATTTACCAGCTTCGCAACTGGAACGACAGTTTCATCTACTCCTTCGAGCACGTCCTCCTCCAACTCTGGGTGAGGCCTCATATATTACTTATCTCCAATCAGTAGCTGATATTTCCATCTAGATTCTTCTCCAATACAGGAGTAGTCGCCGGAACATTTACTGTTGTTGGCCTGGTTGGAGTTGCTGGAGTTGTTGGAGCTGGAATGATGATTGCAAGACGCCGTGCCTCTCGCTCGTATGAGGACGACATGGAGTATCTGGAAAAGAAGCCAGAACTTTATGTAGAGCACTCTCAGAGTCAGAATTTCGTTGTTGAAGATGCTGAAGAATCCCGAGATATAGATCACTTCGGCAACTCCATGGAAGTTACTGTACCGCCTGCCGCACACTTTTATTCCCAGCAGGACGTGTACCACGGGCAGGCAGCTAACAGTAGCGAAGGTTATGAAAACCAAGGCTACTATCCGCAGGAAGTGTACGCTCCACATGAGGTTTATGCTCCTCATGAGGTTTATGCTCCTCATGAGTATGGTATAGCATATCCCCCGACGGAACTTTATGCGGCACAGGATCCTTATGGAGGGATTGATGAAACTGGAGGGATGCCAAACCCCTTCGACAATGATGAATCAGAATTACCAGCTGCCTTGCGGCCATCTGTTCAGCGAACTCGTACGCTTATTCCTCCTCCTACTGCATACCACTCTCCGGATCTCCCCCACTCCGTCGATTCTTTCTACGGTTCCTCCGCGGGCGCTTCGAACGGGCACGCCATGTGAAATTATTTCGAACATCATATGCTTGATGCGTGCATTGTGACATTCTTCATGTTGTCGATCAAAATCACAGTACACGTTTGATTCGTCTTTCTTTATTTTATTTATGTACAAACTCGCGGCTGCGCGTATACCTTGGATTTTCTGAACGATTGCACTTTCTTTGGAACACGGATATCGATTTGATTGACTCCCTTAATTATCGACCTATAAACGACTGATAGCACATTCAATACATATGACATGTTTGCAAAACATAGCCGATCTGTTACCTTGGCGGACCTCGAAATACGCTATTAGACTCGGGACCATTCCATGGCCAGGTTCCGTCGGCTAGTGCTGGCTTCGTGCACCCTTATCGAATTGATAGACGAGTGAAGGTCTCACTTACACTTGGAACAAACATGCTCTATGTCGGGAGAGTAATGACTATAGGGCTGTCGCGACAATCGCACAGGCTCTTCTCAACACAGGCACCCGAAGCCTTCCTCGAACCTCTCCAGTCTCACCTCGGTATAACATGTCTGTCCCTCAACAGACCACAGGCAAAGAATGCTATTTCAATGAAATTACTTCATGTGATAGTTCATCCAACTCCAATACCGTCATACGCGCTGAATTCGCTCGTTAGGAATTTCGTGAATGTTTAGAAACCGCCAAGTACGACAAGAGGTTCATATTCCATGTTGTCTAGTAATAGCAGATTGCACTGAATAGCTTGACGCAGCATCCGAGCGCTGATAATACGTTCCACTACTATGGGTTCCTTCTGCGCAGGTGCCGACCTCGCAGAGAGACGCACTATGTCTCAAATTCAAGTCGCGAAATTTCTTTCTGACTTGCGTGCTGCACTTGGCCAATTGGAAGCCTTGCCTATGCCAACAATCGCTGCAATTGATGGTCCCGCATTGGGGGGAGGGTTAGAATTGAGTTTTGCCTGTGACTTGCGTGTGGCCGGTGAGTACGGTCGCTGCATGGAGTGGAGTCCGCCTGATCTGTATTGAAGGACATGACGTGACAAAGATAGGCCTTCCGGAGACACGCCTCGGGATCATCCCTGGAGCGGGTGGTACCCAACGTGCTGTCAGACTACTGGGCATGTCGAAAGCAAAGGTCCTGATCTTTACAGCTAAGATGCTGACAGCCAAAGAAGCACTTGAATGGGGTAGCAAAACTTCTGAATTGTATCCTTATGTCGCGATCTGACAAAGGCTGTGAGCATAGGCATAGTGGATTATGTATCATCTCCCTCTACATCAGCCTTCGAACGGGCGGTCGAATTGGCTCAAGAAATAACCAAAAGCGGTACGCACCTACTCCACCCCTTAGGCAACCCCATTTTCAATTTTTCGAATAGCCCCATTAGCGCTTCGAGCTGCAAAGCAGGCAATTTCACGTGCAGCTGACCTCTCGTTGGAATCAGGTATTTAGCGTTGCATTTATCGTGGTTGTTGTTAACATACGAGGAACAGGTCTCGACTTAGAGAGAGCGTCATATGAAGTTCTTCTACCTACGAAAGATCGGTTGGAGGCTTTACAGGCATTCAAGGAAAAACGACAACCTGTTTTTAAAGGAGAATAGTCTTCTACATTTGATTTGGAGTGTGCCGCGTATGCTGACTCATAGTGCAACGAATCGTGACAAGATCAGGTATAATGTTCGCGCACACATCTATATATCTACCGCGCCTGTGTTTTCATTGAAAATATCATTGGCGACACATGGCACTTCTCTATTTCGTCGGGCCTGGGAGCAGAGTTTCCGGAAGTTCTTTGACAACCTTGCTGGCATGTCACTATGTGGCCATACCAGCCTCCGCCGGCACAGATGTTGCGGGACTGGTCAGCATCTTGATGCTGGCCGTAATCCACAGGTGGTCTACTTATCTACGGGGTATTCCATTTTCTTGAGGATGTCTTCGAACAAACATGCCAAAAACTTTAGGACAAGGCACCCGTGGCCCTATGTTGGTGGGCAAATGTCTTTGGCACCAATAACGGGTATGCTTTCACATCGGTTACCTTTCAAGTCGCCACTTTTTCTTGTGACATACCACTTGTCCATGATAGTGATTGGGCTAGTGAAGATCCCATAAATGCAGCCCAACGCCAGTAAGTGCTGTCATCAAGAGCATAATACTCACACTGATCTTGAAGACGTGGCATAGCGATGATTCGCGCAGTAATTGCCAACTCAGTCTACCCAGAACCGGAAACCTCGTGAATGGTCATCGGGGTGGATGTCCAGCTTTCACGCAATCTGCGAGCTAGTGGCCGCCACGTCACGTATACACGAGAAGGTGTAGCTTATTACTTTCATGAATTGAATGCCGAAGGACCTATACGGTTGTGTTAGATGCGCATCTGCCACGCTTTCGTAGCAGTGCTTTCTACCGTGCCATTGTACGTCTGTATTCCCTGTTTGGCTCTGATTTGGCATTACCGAACCAGTCCCTGCGCTGTGTTGTTGCATCCCTACTGACCGAAGTTCGTATCCTATTTCAAGTTCACTGCTCGCAGTCTCCCGTTGCTCTTATCTATGCACTCTAGTACTATTTCGCTCTCATGCGCTGGGTCTGGCCATGGTCATAGATCACTGCTTCATTTCCACGAAGACTATGTCCATATTGGCGTTTAGCGTCATAATGGTGAATGATTGATATCTTAATGACGGCTGCCAGTGGATCATTTTGCTGTCGCCGAAGATCTTGCAAATACCTGACGTCAACGTTCTAACTTAAGTATCTACCCAGCTCTGGACGTCACAAGGTGCCAGCGTCAGTGGTTCACTCGGAGTACCAGGGTCGGTCACGGCATACAGCTCGCTTGCGGACGAAGTTGGAGTAGTGCAATGCTCAGGAGAAGCCATATTGAATTGCAGAGATGGGCTATGCAACCAATACTGACCATTAAATAGGTGCCATTATTTCACGTCACCGCAAAAAAAGTCCCGACAGAAGAGCTGGCGTAAGGTGCGCTTAACCACTGCGATGAAAGTCATGATGGAAACGGGCTCCATACATGGCCA